CCTGTCACAAGGACCGAAGTTCGCTCCGGAGCTTCCGGTTTCAAGGGTCGACAACCTGGCAGCGGTGCACGAGGTGGCCTCGAAGATCCCGGAGGCCAACCGCCAGGATTTTGTCAGTGCCGGCTCCAGGACCGTCCGCTTCCACGGAGGCGGATCCACCACTGGGAACATGGCCCGAACGGTCATCGAGGAGTTCCGCCAGGCGGACCTTAGGCTCCTCGAGGCAGACAAGGAGGGAATCTTCGTGGTCCTTGACAGGGACCAGCTGGACCAGAAGACGTCGGCCGCCCTATGTAAGAATTTCAGGCCCCTCAGGGCCCGGCCTTCTGGCGCACTTCGATCCGAGGCCAAAGCCCTCTGCGACTCTCTGAACCTTCCCTCTCTTAAGAGCTTAATCAGCCTGCCTTCTCAGCAATACCTTTCTATCTTTTTCTCGGCCAAAACCCATAAACCAGACATTCCACTCCGCAGCATTATCTCTGAAAAAGGCTGCTGGCAGAGACCCTTGGCCTTGTTTCTACAAAAGCAACTCTCAGTCCTTGATCTCCCTCACCCCTTCCGCATTGACAACTCCTCAGCCTTGATAAAGCCCCTAGAGGAACTCCATTCCGCCCAGAGCACCGTCGCCGTTTTCTCACTTGATATAGTCGACATGTATTATAGCCTAGATATCCCCACCATGCTCTGTTTCATCAGCGAGGCCATACACCTCCACGGCGCGGTCAGGTTCCAGAACTCAGCGGGGATCTCCGTGTCGGGGTTTCTGGACCTCATCGACCTCTACCTACGCTCAACCCTAGTGGAGCACGAGGGAAGAATCTACGCCCAGAAGACAGGGGTTTGCATCGGCTCGTGCCTCGCCCCCATCTTGAGTGAGATCTACTTGTTCTTCGTCGATAGGCGGGTTTCCGAGGCCCTCACAACTCTCGCCCAGGGCACTTCCGTCTTCCGATATGTGGATGACTACCTCATCGTTCACCAAGCCACCTCAGATCCTAAAAATATTGAGCAGATATTCTCAGATAATTCGTTCGGTCTAAAATTTACCAGCGAGGCCCCCACACAGAACGGACTACAGTTCTTGGATCTTCGCCTTCACCCCAAGGATTCCGGCATTTGCTGGTCCTTCCAGCAAAGATCTTGCAAACCAGTGCTTCCCTTCCACAGCAACCATTCAAAAACCGTCAAAAGCGGAATCGTTCATAACCTCCTAACCTCATCCCGATCCAAGTCATGCTCTCACTTAATCTCGACGAGCTGCTCCCTACAGCTCACCCGCCTCGTCAAAGCGGGCTACCCAAAAGACTTACTTGAGACCCGATTAAAACGCATTATGATAGCCCAGGCCTCCGGCACACAACCTAAGAGCAGGCCACGCGCATCCCGCTTCGCGTGCATTCCATACGTGCACAACGTCTCCCACAGAATCAAATCGTTAGCACTCCGACATGACACGCAGGTGTTCTTTTCATGTCGCCTCAGGCTCTCCTCGCTCTGCAGGAAGGTCAACAACCCAACCGCCCCAAAGCCGTGCTCCAAAAAACACGCCACCAAGTTCGTTCCTTGCAGACAGGCCAGCGTCTACTCGATCCCGCTCGGGTGCGGCGCGCAATACATCGGCCAGACAGGCCGATGTCTAAACGACCGCCTAAGGGAGCACGCCAACGAGGTACAGCAGGCGGCTTCCAACCCATCCCTCCATTCCCTGCACCCAATTGCCCAGCACGTCGGTTCGTGCCCCTCCTGCGAACCAGAGTTTCCGGCCACCACGACAGTGGGCACACACAGGTCAAGATACGGCCGCGAGATTATCGAAGCCTTCGCTATGCGCCATTCACCGCAAAACATCGGGTCCCCATCGCTTTGTCTCTCCGACGCCGACGTTTCCTTTCTGCGTCCGGAGTTGCGACAAACGTAGGCGCCTTTGAAGTAGGGTCGCCCTTCCCTCCTCAAGGTCACTTCCCTTATTACCCCCCCCCCCCCTTTTTTGACTTCGGCGTGCGCTGCCGGCTAAAAACATGTTTCTCTTTCCCTCCATCTCCATCCTCTCTCCACCCCCACCCTCCCTTCCTTCTCTGTCCTCCTCAACCCTTCCAACTCCGCGCGGTGACTGTCGCGTTCGGTGACGGGCGTCAAAATAAATGTATGCTGCCAGTTGGAGAAACGTGTCGTCCTGTTTTCGTCCTCTATGTTAGTCTCCACAAACACCGTAACTTAACCAGCACGCTCCATTTCCACGAGTGTTTACAAAAGTGAGCTTTGTCATGTCCCGTCCATCAGCGAGTCGACCAGTCCCGTCGGTGTTTGTCCCTGAAGGATTTTTCCAAGCCTCCCTATTTATCTCCAAAATGACTCATCTTCAGCTGCGGCTCAGGGTTTTGGGCCTGTGTCTCCGCAAGAAACTGTTCCACGAGGACATCAGAGGCGTCTTCGGATTTCAGTCAAGCAGCTGGCCTGCCCACTACAAGATCACCCAGATCGCGCGAGAGGAGGTGTCATCGGAAGTTCGCCTCATGCAGGCTCTGCTCCCCACCACCATGTCAAAGCACCTGGGGGTCGGCTTCGCTTCCCAGCCCCCTTACCGGTTCCTCAGGGAGTCGGCGGCTCACCTCCTGGAGATGTCCTGGGTTCAGTTCCTCCGGGGCCTGAAGACCAGGATGGCACAACACCCCAAGCTGCAGCTCGAACCACCCATTAACATCTCGAAAGTCAAGCTCTCGCAGGCCACCGAGGCCTTCCTGTCACAAGGACCGAAGTTCGCTCCGGAGCTTCCGGTTTCAAGGGTCGACAACCTGGCAGCGGTGCACGAGGTGGCCTCGAAGATCCCGGAGGCCAACCGCCAGGATTTTGTCAGCGCCGGCTCCAGGACCGTCCGCTTCCACGGAGGCGGATCCACCACTGGGAACATGGCCCGAACGGTCATCGAGGAGTTCCGCCAGGCGGACCTTAGGCTCCTCGAGGCAGACAAGGAGGGAATCTTCGTGGTCCTTGACAGGGACCAGCTGGACCAGAAGACGTCGGCCGCCCTATGTAAGAATTTCAGGCCCCTCAGGGCCCGGCCTTCTGGCGCACTTCGATCCGAGGCCAAAGCCCTCTGCGACTCTCTGAACCTTCCCTCTCTTAAGAGCTTAATCAGCCTGCCTTCTCAGCAATACCTTTCTATCTTTTTCTCGGCCAAAACCCATAAACCAGACATTCCACTCCGCAGCATTATCTCTGAAAAAGGCTGCTGGCAGAGACCCTTGGCCTTGTTTCTACAAAAGCAACTCTCAGTCCTTGATCTCCCTCACCCCTTCCGCATTGACAACTCCTCAGCCTTGATAAAGCCCCTAGAGGAACTCCATTCCGCCCAGAGCACCGTCGCCGTTTTCTCACTTGATATAGTCGACATGTATTATAGCCTAGATATCCCCACCATGCTCTGTTTCATCAGCGAGGCCATACACCTCCACGGCGCGGTCAGGTTCCAGAACTCAGCGGGGATCTCCGTGTCGGGGTTTCTGGACCTCATCGACCTCTACCTACGCTCAACCCTAGTGGAGCACGAGGGAAGAATCTACGCCCAGAAGACAGGGGTTTGCATCGGCTCGTGCCTCGCCCCCATCTTGAGTGAGATCTACTTGTTCTTCGTCGATAGGCGGGTTTCCGAGGCCCTCACAACTCTCGCCCAGGGCACTTCCGTCTTCCGATATGTGGATGACTACCTCATCGTTCACCAAGCCACCTCAGATCCTAAAAATATTGAGCAGATATTCTCAGATAATTCGTTCGGTCTAAAATTTACCAGCGAGGCCCCCACACAGAACGGACTACAGTTCTTGGATCTTCGCCTTCACCCCAAGGATTCCGGCATTTGCTGGTCCTTCCAGCAAAGATCTTGCAAACCAGTGCTTCCCTTCCACAGCAACCATTCAAAAAACGTCAAAAGCGGAATCGTTCATAACCTCCTAACCTCATCCCGATCCAAGTCATGCTCTCACTTAATCTCGACGAGCTGCTCCCTACAGCTCACCCGCCTCGTCAAAGCGGGCTACCCAAAAGACTTACTTGAGACCCGATTAAAACGCATTATGATAGCCCAGGCCTCCGGCACACAACCTAAGAGCAGGCCACGCGCATCCCGCTTCGCGTGCATTCCATACGTGCACAACGTCTCCCACAGAATCAAATCGTTAGCACTCCGACATGACACGCAGGTGTTCTTTTCATGTCGCCTCAGGCTCTCCTCGCTCTGCAGGAAGGTCAACAACCCAACCGCCCCAAAGCCGTGCTCCAAAAAACACGCCACCAAGTTCGTTCCTTGCAGACAGGCCAGCGTCTACTCGATCCCGCTCGGGTGCGGCGCGCAATACATCGGCCAGACAGGCCGATGTCTAAACGACCGCCTAAGGGAGCACGCCAACGAGGTACAGCAGGCGGCTTCCAACCCATCCCTCCATTCCCTGCACCCAATTGCCCAGCACGTCGGTTCGTGCCCCTCCTGCGAACCAGAGTTTCCGGCCACCACGACAGTGGGCACACACAGGTCAAGATACGGCCGCGAGATTATCGAAGCCTTCGCTATGCGCCATTCACCGCAAAACATCGGGTCCCCATCGCTTTGTCTCTCCGACGCCGACGTTTCCTTTCTGCGTCCGGAGTTGCGACAAACGTAGGCGCCTTTGAAGTAGGGTCGCCCTTCCCTCCTCAAGGTCACTTCCCTTATTACCCCCCCCCCCCTTTTTTGACTTCGGCGTGCGCTGCCGGCTAAAAACATGTTTCTCTTTCCCTCCATCTCCATCCTCTCTCCACCCCCACCCTCCCTTCCTTCTCTGTCCTCCTCAACCCTTCCAACTCCGCGCGGTGACTGTCGCGTTCGGTGACGGGCGTCAAAATAAATGTATGCTGCCAGTTGGAGAAACGTGTCGTCCTGTTTTCGTCCTCTATGTTAGTCTCCACAAACACCGTAACTTAACCAGCACGCTCCATTTCCACGAGTGTTTACAAAAGTGAGCTTTGTCATGTCCCGTCCATCAGCGAGTCGACCAGTCCCGTCGGTGTTTGTCCCTGAAGGATTTTTCCAAGCCTCCCTATTTATCTCCAAAATGACTCATCTTCAGCTGCGGCTCAGGGTTTTGGGCCTGTGTCTCCGCAAGAAACTGTTCCACGAGGACATCAGAGGCGTCTTCGGATTTCAGTCAAGCAGCTGGCCTGCCCACTACAAGATCACCCAGATCGCGCGAGAGGAGGTGTCATCGGAAGTTCGCCTCATGCAGGCTCTGCTCCCCACCACCATGTCAAAGCACCTGGGGGTCGGCTTCGCTTCCCAGCCCCCTTACCGGTTCCTCAGGGAGTCGGCGGCTCACCTCCTGGAGATGTCCTGGGTTCAGTTCCTCCGGGGCCTGAAGACCAGGATGGCACAACACCCCAAGCTGCAGCTCGAACCACCCATTAACATCTCGAAAGTCAAGCTCTCGCAGGCCACCGAGGCCTTCCTGTCACAAGGACCGAAGTTCGCTCCGGAGCTTCCGGTTTCAAGGGTCGACAACCTGGCAGCGGTGCACGAGGTGGCCTCGAAGATCCCGGAGGCCAACCGCCAGGATTTTGTCAGCGCCGGCTCCAGGACCGTCCGCTTCCACGGAGGCGGATCCACCACTGGGAACATGGCCCGAACGGTCATCGAGGAGTTCCGCCAGGCGGACCTTAGGCTCCTCGAGGCAGACAAGGAGGGAATCTTCGTGGTCCTTGACAGGGACCAGCTGGACCAGAAGACGTCGGCCGCCCTATGTAAGAATTTCAGGCCCCTCAGGGCCCGGCCTTCTGGCGCACTTCGATCCGAGGCCAAAGCCCTCTGCGACTCTCTGAACCTTCCCTCTCTTAAGAGCTTAATCAGCCTGCCTTCTCAGCAATACCTTTCTATCTTTTTCTCGGCCAAAACCCATAAACCAGACATTCCACTCCGCAGCATTATCTCTGAAAAAGGCTGCTGGCAGAGACCCTTGGCCTTGTTTCTACAAAAGCAACTCTCAGTCCTTGATCTCCCTCACCCCTTCCGCATTGACAACTCCTCAGCCTTGATAAAGCCCCTAGAGGAACTCCATTCCGCCCAGAGCACCGTCGCCGTTTTCTCACTTGATATAGTCGACATGTATTATAGCCTAGATATCCCCACCATGCTCTGTTTCATCAGCGAGGCCATACACCTCCACGGCGCGGTCAGGTTCCAGAACTCAGCGGGGATCTCCGTGTCGGGGTTTCTGGACCTCATCGACCTCTACCTACGCTCAACCCTAGTGGAGCACGAGGGAAGAATCTACGCCCAGAAGACAGGGGTTTGCATCGGCTCGTGCCTCGCCCCCATCTTGAGTGAGATCTACTTGTTCTTCGTCGATAGGCGGGTTTCCGAGGCCCTCACAACTCTCGCCCAGGGCACTTCCGTCTTCCGATATGTGGATGACTACCTCATCGTTCACCAAGCCACCTCAGATCCTAAAAATATTGAGCAGATATTCTCAGATAATTCGTTCGGTCTAAAATTTACCAGCGAGGCCCCCACACAGAACGGACTACAGTTCTTGGATCTTCGCCTTCACCCCAAGGATTCCGGCATTTGCTGGTCCTTCCAGCAAAGATCTTGCAAACCAGTGCTTCCCTTCCACAGCAACCATTCAAAAAACGTCAAAAGCGGAATCGTTCATAACCTCCTAACCTCATCCCGATCCAAGTCATGCTCTCACTTAATCTCGACGAGCTGCTCCCTACAGCTCACCCGCCTCGTCAAAGCGGGCTACCCAAAAGACTTACTTGAGACCCGATTAAAACGCATTATGATAGCCCAGGCCTCCGGCACACAACCTAAGAGCAGGCCACGCGCATCCCGCTTCGCGTGCATTCCATACGTGCACAACGTCTCCCACAGAATCAAATCGTTAGCACTCCGACATGACACGCAGGTGTTCTTTTCATGTCGCCTCAGGCTCTCCTCGCTCTGCAGGAAGGTCAACAACCCAACCGCCCCAAAGCCGTGCTCCAAAAAACACGCCACCAAGTTCGTTCCTTGCAGACAGGCCAGCGTCTACTCGATCCCGCTCGGGTGCGGCGCGCAATACATCGGCCAGACAGGCCGATGTCTAAACGACCGCCTAAGGGAGCACGCCAACGAGGTACAGCAGGCGGCTTCCAACCCATCCCTCCATTCCCTGCACCCAATTGCCCAGCACGTCGGTTCGTGCCCCTCCTGCGAACCAGAGTTTCCGGCCACCACGACAGTGGGCACACACAGGTCAAGATACGGCCGCGAGATTATCGAAGCCTTCGCTATGCGCCATTCACCGCAAAACATCGGGTCCCCATCGCTTTGTCTCTCCGACGCCGACGTTTCCTTTCTGCGTCCGGAGTTGCGACAAACGTAGGCGCCTTTGAAGTAGGGTCGCCCTTCCCTCCTCAAGGTCACTTCCCTTATTACCCCCCCCCCCCCCCTTTTTTGACTTCGGCGTGCGCTGCCGGCTAAAAACATGTTTCTCTTTCCCTCCATCTCCATCCTCTCTCCACCCCCACCCTCCCTTCCTTCTCTGTCCTCCTCAACCCTTCCAACTCCGCGCGGTGACTGTCGCGTTCGGTGACGGGCGTCAAAATAAATGTATGCTGCCAGTTGGAAAAACGTGTCGTCCTGTTTTCGTCCTCTATGTTAGTCTCCACAAACACCGTAACTTAACCAGCACGCTCCATTTCCACGAGTATTTTGTATTGTGTACGGTTTTCTCACTTTCCGGTATACGAATATGTATACGGGGTGGGCTGTACAGAAGGCACACCGGGTTGTTTATTTCTGAACGTTAACATCGCATGGACAGTCAAGATGCGACCCGACTCAGGGATGAGGTGATTGGCCCGTCCAAACGGGAGACATTGAGGGTAGGAAGAGTGCACCTGGGACCCTTGTCTACACGGCGGGACCAAGCGGAACGTGGGGACAAGGAAATCACTGCCTGTTGCGATTGGTCCGCTCGGCACCGTTGAACAATCGCAGCAGGGGGCGATGCCGCAGTCCCTTGGCCCCGCTTGGCCCAGCCGAGCAGATTACGGCGCCTAAAGTACGATTTCAGTGTACCTTGAGTACACCTAAAATAGACAACTTAGCAGACTTTAAGTTTTTTTATAAATATGTTATTGGTACAACCAAATCTACTAAATGCGTGTTTTTCGTTTACTATAAAAGTGTATATGTTTCTGTGTTGGTTTGTATCCAAAGAAGCGTACTAAAAATGTTCAGCTCCTCCTGGAGCGTTTCTAATTTGTTCTTTTATATAAATAATTAAGGTGTACCTTGGTGCATTTTAGAATATATATATGTTATCTTATCAAGACCTACATGTGTATAACGCCAAAAGCATCCATTCTTACTCCGACAACAAAATATTTTATTAGATACTTCGCGCGGCGTATGAACAATGCGCAAAACTTCGTTGCTACTTGGGGTGAAAATGAGCATAGTATACTATAAGTATACTTATAGTCCAAAAGTACGAACAAATATGTTGTCACTCCTGCACCATGCACACAATAAGTATAATTTTGTGGATTGCTTTTTTACGGATGGTACCCGCTCCTCAAGATACACATCATGAACCTCCCCTTCTCTCTTCGTTTACAGCCGCAGAAACGTCTTTGTTGCGGCATCAAGTGCCGTTGAGGGCTGACTTTACAGTTTCCTACTGAAGCCACCCTAATACCATGGGTTCGAGAAGGGCATTAATTTGCTAAAGCAACGTTTATTCGCAACACACTGCGGAATATTGAACACAACGTTATTTTTGTGCACGTCTATATACCCCATTTTTGTTATCAGTATAAAGCTCGTAATAATATGTTCTTAGAAAATATACATTTATAACGAAGAAAAACAGTTAGACTGAAGTTCATCCCAAGCCTCTACTTGTATATGATGGTTCTGGTCAATCGTGCTTGCACAAATAAACGCTCATTTCAGACGACGAATATCCGGCTGCTCAGTCGCAGCGGACCGAGTCGGTTCAGGGAGGGAAGGGAAAGGGAAACATCCGCTGGTTAGCCGAGCATCCAGCTTCCCTCCGTAGCTGGGTCGCGTCTGTTTACACAGGAGCTATACGGTGTTTGCATTTATGCACTGTTGCAGCTGCGGCCCAGCGATGCGCTTTCCATAAAGGTCGTTATTGTAACCTACACTGTGTAAACAGGGTGAAGCCAAAGCTGTAAAGTTTGGCGCGCGCTCTCCGGGAAATCCTCCTGCACGGTTCAGCGCAATACGAGGTGATAAGGGTGTCAGCCGAAGGGTCCTGGGACTGAGTTAGTAACCCAAACAACGACGAATATTAATTTGTAAAGTATACGCTGCAACGCCGGTGCGGTACCTAGTCGGCAGCGAGGCTGAGATACCCCTTGTTCGGCGGGCGACATGTCCCGTTTTTTATATAGCAACTTTTTGATTGTTCTCCTTAACGAGGTAGAGAGTTTGAGAGCAATAAACCGGGTTTCCGGTCCGCACACGAAAGTGCCCCCCCCCCCCCCTTCCCTTCGCAGGCCGCCGCCATAGTACGTAACTGTGACTACTCCTCATGTGATTCAAACAATTAAGTGACGTCAAAGGCAAGATTGCAGCGCCCAGGCACTACTTGTTAATGCTGGGCTGAAGCTTGTCGGATACGTTGGTCGTTGTTAGTTCAATCGAGTTGATTTCATATCTAAGAGCCGCGACCTGAAGCCGATCGAAAGCGACTTCAAAGTTCAGCGGGGTCTCTCGATAGATATAACTTGAAATACGGAGTAACGGTGCGCATTTTGCTGGCGATCGGCGGAGATATTGCCGGGAAATAGACAGAATTGGCCGTGCGTTGCTGGAACCTCGGGTTGATTCGGATATAGCTAGAATAAATTTTAACGCGACATTTTTTTGCTCTTCTTAACCATCAAAATCCTCGAAGTCTGCAGCAAGGCGTGTGCGCTGCATTTGGATACACCGATTAGCTACAGAAATTCCGTGAGTCCTGCTTGGCAGTGTGCAGTCGTGGTGCCGCTTCGTTCAAATATTCGGAGGTCCACATTGGTTGTGCGGCGCACCGAACAGCTGATTTGAAGCTGGTAGTTGCCATGCCTTGCTAGATAATTTTGTGCTACATTATATATTGTCCTGGCGTAAACCTGGGACTCTCACGAAGCATAGGCGTGGCAGCTCAATGCCTGAAAAGTGGTCCGACGTCCGTTTTCTTGTGGTTCGTACACGGGAGTCATCGAAACACCGAAGGACAGCACTTTTTTCTCACAGCTCACCACTCAACCAATGCAGCTTCTTTGTCAGGATAAACGTACTTGGTAAGTTTAGTTATATTATCACAGATGTTTAGGCTAGCACTTCCTTTTATCAATATTTGCTATTCTGGAAAGTTCTTGGTCGTGCTCGGCTGTCATCGTGTGTCCTGGTGGAGGCAATTGGTACTTTACATTATTCCCTTCCTTATTACACTCCGAAAAGCCGCGAAACTAGTTCAATCCCGAGCCGGCAGTGACTTTAAGATAAATTATTGCATTCCACGAGCTATATTTCTAAGGATCGCTAAGCGTGATTTTGTCAACAACATTTTCAATCATTTGGAGACGATGAAGCTTGATATTATTTGGAAGAGAATACGGTCGGTACTGAAGAATAAGCCTCTCTAAATGTACCTCAAGAAATACTATGTAAATAATGACAGGTTAACCAAAGTAAACATGGCTATAGTCGGTTACAAGTCAAGAAGGTAAGCGAAGCTCCTGGCACAAGCGCGATGCACCCGTTTCGAATCCCTCCGCTGTCGAAAGAATAGTTCACTGAAAACGTCCCTTGTTCCACTTCAATGGATACATATTGGCTACAGAGGGATGCGAACTTGTCTCCGACCCCCACTTTTTAAGAAAGCGACCTTTGTATTCATTGGAGATGGAACCGAGCTCTTGAAAGGAGCCTTTGTATCCATCGGAGGGGGAACCTACCCCCGAAAGCCGTATTTGTTTCCATCGGAGGGGGAAAACTCTAATCTACATTCGAGGCTTCCGCAACGTTAAGTCAAAGTTGAAAGATAATGGCAAATATTTACGGAAAGGCAAGACCCTCCTCCCGCGTTGGCCACGACGTCACGGAATTGATGGGACGCTATTGGATGCGGAGGTGGCGGTAGGCTATATGAATCTCTTTGCGGGGCATTTGTCGCTACCTTCTTGACCTATAACTTACTATAGTGCGTTTAATAGTTTCTTCGTAAATGTTTGTGCATCGTTCTGCGTATCATCGTCCTCCATATGTAACGCGCTAGGGTTGATGCCACTGCCACAAGTAAATATATTTTTTTTACTTCCGACTGACGATCTAGAACTTAAACAACCGTCATGCGACTTAAAATTAGCAAAAACATGGCTGTCAATAACATGCGAATGGCGCCTACGATATACGTCATTGATTTTCTTGCACGATATATACTAATAAAACCAAAGCTATGTTGTTTAGATATCGCAATAAACTAATGAATATCGCTCCTTGTCTCGTTCTAAACAACGGGGAAAATTGAGTTTCTAGATCAGATTCAACTATTGGGTGTGTTTTTCTTACGCGATATGAGCTAAAATTATTATATCGACTACTGTAAACGAGTTGATTTTCACGGGCTCAAATTTTCGCGAATCGGGCCAAAGCAAAAAATTTGAAATTCTTCGCGGGTTATAATTTTCGAGAATCGAGTGTAGCTTACGTAGCGCTTACTTGTTGCCCCAATTGTTCGCGGGACGTATTTTTCGCGAATCGTAAGTGGTTCGCGAAATTCGCGAAAATTTAGTCGTGTACTGTATTTGCAAAAAAAAAAAAGCTAGCAAACAATATCGGCCTAATATAAATACTTAAAGCTACATTTACTATTCAAATCAAATGAACAATATATAATTCTTTAATATGTTCACATCTTCATTACTGTAACCTTGAATAGGGTGCTACAACAAAAACAAATTAACCAAATTAAATGTTTTACAAAATGGGTCGGTTCGTGCCATTGGGTGTGTTACTTTTCTTCATCCCACTGAGTTCATATTTAGGTTACTTAATATAAGAACCGTCCATCAAATGTATATTCTCAAGATTTCGTCGACGTGCCCACGAGCCCTCCTGCACCATATTGATCGTTTCATTCCGTTAACTAACCTAAAACATTGCACCATATTGCATTGCCGAAGGCATAATCAGCCAGGTATGATGCACCAATCGAGAGATAACTACCATAATGAATCTCTTCATTCCGATCCGTGTACATCGCTGAATAGCTCAGGTAAAAAAGGATCAAAGTAGATACACTATCCCATAAAGATTTATTGATTTTTATATTTTCAATGTGACTCTTATATTATTTTGCTATGCAGCACGATCTGGTTCTGTATTACGTTGATGTTTGTGCTGTGCAGCAAATTGCGTTATCTGA